GCTGCAGTGAGGGTCCTGCCAAGTAATTCTACCTCCGCCACAGGACGCGGGCGCACGCGATGGGCATTCAGGGTCTATTGACGCTGTTGAAGGATGTCTCTGTCAACAAGCACATCTCCGCCTACAAGGGCCAGACGCTTGGAGTGGATGCGTACGTGTGGCTGCACAGGGGAGCGTATGGATGCGCGCAGAAGCTTGCCATGGGAGTCTTCACGCAAAGGTGAGTGCGCCGGAGGTGGGGGGCCCGTTCGCGAAATGAGGACTCCAAGAGACAGGTTGCTGATGCCATCGCCCTACTCCCTCCTCTTGCCAGCTACGTCGAATTTGCGATGACTCTCGTCCGAATGCTGCAGCACTACGGTGTCACGCCGTACCTGGTATTCGATGGGGACAGACTGCCAGCCAAAGCCAAGACTGAAGCGGATCGAGCTGCGTGAGTCATCAGTGTGGCTCTGCGTATAGCGCTGACCTCGTGCGGAACGCGGCTGACAGGTTAGTTTCCTGACCACAGTCGACGCCAAGAAAATCGAGCGAGAGCCAAGACGTTGCTGAAACAGGGTCTCACCAAACAAGCCCACGACATCTTCGCAAAGAGCGTCGACGTCACTCCAGCCATGGCCTACCAGCTCATCAAAGTGAGTGCAGGTCGCGAGCCTGATGAGCCGTTGTCTTGACGCTAAATGTGCGACGCTTACCCTCCTCGCGTAACTTTGCAGGAGTTGCGCAAAGCAGGCGTGCCGTACATTGTAGCGCCATACGAGGCAGATGCTCAGCTGGCATACTTGGAAAAGAGGGGGGATATACAAGGCATCGTCACCGAAGACTCTGATCTGCTCGTATTTGGTTGCCACACCGTCCTCTACAAGCTCGAGCCTAACGGCGATTGCGTCGAACTCAGACGCGACCAGCTCACTCGCTGCAAGGCTCTGTCGCTGCACGGCTTTGACGATGCCCACTTCCGTCAAATGGCCATCTTGTCAGGCTGCGACTACCTCGAGTCCATCGTAGGCATGGGGCTCAAGACTGCACATCGTCTGCTACGCAAGTGCGACACTGTCGCAAAAGCTCTGCAGGCTGCTCGCATGGAAGGCATGCGCGTTCCAAAGGACTATCAACAGCGCTTCGACACTGCAGAGCGCACCTTTGTCTTTCAAAGAGTGTTCGAAAGGAACTCGGAGGGTGCTGTCAGTCTTACCACACTTCATCCTCTGCGAGGTGCCGAGGCAGAGAGCATACACAAGGACCCATGCATCGGTCACGAAGTGCCCAGAGAGCAGTGCTTCAGCCTAGCAAATGGGGATCTCGATCCCATCACGCGAGAGGCTATCGTCGACCTTGGCAGAG